CCGTTCGGCCATAGATGCTGATGGCTTGCCTATTCCTCTCAGTGCCAAGAGTTGTGACTGTGGAGGAACCTGAGGTTCTTTCGACCGCTCTGAATCTGCCTGATGGTCGACATGGATGGAGAACTGGGTAGAAGCGGCGGGCGGGACAAAGAACCCAGTGGTGGGCTTTCCCGCCTGACCACAACCGACGCTCCCGGTCTGGCCGCACGCTGAAGTCCCTAAAGGACCGCAGTTCTACAAAAATATAAAGACCAATGTTTAGGACAATACACAAACTAACGAAAAGCATGTCATTGGAACTTTTAAGTAATTCACAAAAGGATATACTAGCTAAAGTTTTGCAGGTAGTCTAGGAGGAAAATTTGAATTATTTTCAAGATGGCTGACCTGTTTTGCAGCGCGGTGCGGTTGGACTCGTTGTCGGCCGGCATTTTGGTTGAGAACTCCGAGAGCCACGCGCTTGGTGGCCTGGGGAGCGATGGGCCGGCTCTGGTTGTCTTCCCTCTTCAATCTCCTGGCGTTGGCTTGTCTGTTTTCCTCTCCAAGCGTGGTCGAAAAGCTACCGAGTGCCTGTGACATGATGAGAGTGGCTTGCAGGTTTCGAATGAAAACTGGAGTGTAGTCGTGGACCAACGGCTGACGTTCCCTCCAAAACTCGGCACGAAAGAACAAAATTTGCCGAACAAATAATTCTGTAACCACGAGGACAAACTCACAGCAAGCTCGGTGAGCAAAATGGACTAAAATGCACCGGTAGGAACGAGAGCAATGAGCGAGAAGCGTATGAAGTCGAGATGGTAGCGTCTTCTGGTGCCGCTTCTGCTAACCGACCTCCTGTTTCAGGGGTTCAAGTAACCCGCGACGCGGTGGATTGACCAATCAGAGCGCGCTATTCAAGTCAGCTGGTCAGGCGAGGCCGATCAGCTGGTGAATTAATGAGGCCCGGTGGCGTGGGTCTGACATGTGCACTAGACAATGGAGGGAATTCTTCCTTTGTTATAACAATGTGGAAGACAACTGTCGTACACCTTGCTCACTTTTGCAAATTTAGATGGAGTTTGGGAAGCCATGGAATTGATGATTTGTTGAAGAGGCATAATCTTGGACTTGCAACAATAATCAACCATTTGCTCTTTTTCAGTCCTTACTTTTATTATGAAAATTATTTAGTTGACATATAAATAAAGAGTTAACAATCATATACCTTTATTGCTATGAGCCTAATGGGAAATTAGTTTAAAAATAATCCAGTGTCTTTGCATCTGACATGGTTGTTGCAGGTGATGCACATCTGCACAGGTGTATACATGCAGCACAGGTGTATACATGCAGCACAGGTGTATACATGCAGCACAGGTGTATACATGTATCATTGTAACAGACCGTCTGAACGCAGTGATTGGCCTGTTACATCATCAAGGAGAGTGGAATATCATTAGCTTGAAAATGATGACTAGTATGATAGTCAGTGTGACGTGAATTCCTATGCTACCTGTTACAAGGAACTTCATCTTTTAGTATTAGCAAGGTATTAGTGTCTTATTTTTATAGGCAGACCTGTATCGTTACTTAGTTCAATAGTTGACGACTACATGTGTAACATTATTGAGTAGGAAAACATTAGTAACTTCCATTTTAGGACAATGCCTTTCCTCCATATTTACTATTCTATCTAACGTTACTGCTTGTAGTTATCATAAAATTCCTAAATCAGATCTAAAAATTGGGTGAAAGTTAATTCTGCACCCGTTACTTGCTAGTTTGGTTCACCCTAAACTTTGGTACTTACCATCACAATGGAGAAACCATCCCCATAGAAACCCCTTGTCTGTTCTGCCATGGAGGTAATGCTGCCTCAACGGTTCAATTTTGAGTTGTCTGACTTGAACCTTTATTGTTCCCTTTTCATGTGCTCCCACCTTTCAGACAATGCTGCCTTTCACAGGTTTGGGCGAAGTAAACAGTATTTTTCTTGCAACAATGATCTGTATATGCAACCACATAATGCCAACTTTTGACAGGACCAGTGATGTTTTCATGGAATGTTCGAATTTCCCATAGAGAAGCCACAACATATAACTGCTTGGTTTTGTAAAGCTTGTCATGTGGGCATGATAACAAGTCACTTTTACTTACCTATGGTCAACAATGTACATGTACATGTGTATATTAGTGTTCTGCTAAAGATCTTTCAGTGAATCATTGGCAATTTTATAGAATAGATTCCCAAATGTTTACCTATGCTCAAATATGAAGACAAAGGAACAGGGGTAAAATAATGCCAAACTGCATTTATTGGTTAAAAATAGTTACGTGTACATACAAAATAATACAATAAAATATGATGTATTTGTATTATTGTATTAGGTATATCTTATTTAGAAACTATATGCACATAAAGCCATGTTAGCACTTGGCAAGTACATTAGTTGTTGCCTTGAATATGTTAAAAATCTAGAAATTGCTGTTGTAGTCTGTAGCTTAAAGTTGTTAGCACCAAA